CCCAGTGGCATAGGGCTTGGATTCACTTACTCTGCTTCAGTGGCCTGGGGTTCACAGCTTCAGATTCCAGGCATGGACCTACACAATGCTCATCAAGTCATGCTGTGGCGGTGTGATACATGCAAAATAGAGGAATATTGGCACAGAAGTTAGCTCAGGGACAATCCTCCTTAAGAAAAAAGAGGAGCATTTGAAGCAGATATTAGCTCAGGGTCAATCTTCCTCACACACACACAAACACAAAATTGAAAATAGAAATACCAAGTGATCTACTATCCCATTACTGAGTGTTTATCCAAAGAACATGAAAACAACAATTCTAAGGGATTTTTGCATCTCTACCTTCACTGCAGCATTATTCACAATAGCAAAGATATGGAAGCAACCTAAGTGTCCATCAACAAATGAATGGATAAAAAAGATGTGGTGTATATATATGCAACTGAATACTACTCAGCCATAAAAGAAGTCAAAATCGTGTCAATGCAACAACATGGATGAACCCTGTGGGTATTATGCTAAGCAAAATAAGTCAGATAGAGAAAGACAAATACCATATGCTTTCACTCATAAATGGAAGAAAAACAAACACATAGATAAAGAGAACAGATTAATGGTTACCAGAGGAGTAGGGGATGCAGGGAAGGTGAAAGGGATAAATGGGCACATTTGTATGGTGATGGATAAAAACTAGACTATTGGTGGTGAACTCAATACAGAATATACAGAAATTGAAATATAATAATGTATATCTGAAATTTACACAATGTTATAAGCCAACATAACCTCAATAAAATAATTTAAAAAAACCGGAAATCCTAGAGCTGAAGAATGCAATAATTGCACTGAAGATTGCAATAGAGAGCATTAACAGCAGATTCAGCCAAGTAGAAGCATGAATCAGTGAACTAGGATGTAGGACATTTGAAATTATCCAGTCAGGAGAGCAAAAGAAAAAAAGAATGAAAAAAGTGAAGAAAGCCTACTGGACCTTATGGGACAAATCAAAAGAAACAATATCAGCATTATGAGCATTCAAAAAAAGAAAAAAAACAGGCAGCAATAGATAGTATATTTAAAGAAAAGATGGCTGAAAACTTCCCAAAACTGAGGAGAGAAATGGACACCTAGATCCATGAGGCCAAAATGACCCCAAATAGGTTGAAGCCAAATAGAGCTACATAGAGACAAATTATAATTAAATTGTTAAATATAAAGACAAAGAAAAATTTTGAAAGCAGTGACAGCAAATATAAAAGTTACATGTAAGCG